TTTTTTTATTTTTTGCATATTTGTCACACTTAAAAGATTCAGATCAAACTAATTGTAATATTACACAAAGATAATGCAAGTAAATACAAAATGCAGTTTTTAAATGATGATTTCTTTTATTAAGGGGGAAAAAAACTGTCCAAATCTGCCTGGCCCTACGTGAAAAAGTAATTGCTTAACTCAGCTTTCTAAAATAATGTGGTTAATTGCAGTTCTTTCATGATTTAACAGGAGGGGGCAATTCAATTTTCACGTAGGGCCACATAGGTTTGGACAGCTTTTTTCCATTAATAAATGAAATCATCAATTAAAAACTGCATTTTGTATTTACTTGCATTATCTTTGTGTAATATTAACATTTGTTTAATGATCTGAATCTTTTAAGTGTGACAAATATGCAAAAAAAATTTAAAAACAGGAAGGGGCAAAAACCTTTTCACAGCACTGTATATATATATGTGTGTGTGTATACACACACACACACACACATATATTGTATATATATATATATATAAGTTACATAGTGTAGCTTTAAGTCAGAATATCTGACAAGTTTAATATTCAAAATGAGATCATAATGGTGACTAAACAGATAAAACAGGATTCTAAGTTGTAAGATGGCTTCATATTGCATACCTTGAAGTTCTGTGGAAGCAAGCATTTCAGTGTCTTATCAGCAAAACACACATACCACAGTCTTAAGATGGATCCTGTTAAGCAAAACATTCAGGTAGTCTCACTTTGAGTGAAGATAGTAAAATAGCTATCAGAGGAAATTACATCGTCAAAAAGGTCAAAATTACATTTATAATGTACAAGAAACTTAAAGCTTAAAGGGGTCATATGATGCGATTTCAATTTTTCCTTTCTCTTTGGAGTGTTACAAGCTCTTGGTGCATAAAGAAGATCTGTAAAGTTGCAAAGACTAAAGTCTCAAATCCAAAGAGATATTCTTTATAAAAGTTAAGAGTCAGCCACGCCTACCTAAAACGGCTCGTTCTAACACGCCCCCACATATCTACATCACTATGTGGGAAGATTTTTCATAACGCCGCTCAAATGTTCACGCAAAGAAAGAAGGCGTAACTTTTATTCTTGCTGTAGTATTGTTGCCGCCACCATGTCGTGGAGAGCTGTTTTTCGTTGTGAAAGCGAAACTACTTTGTTTAGTCTTCCAAAAGAGGACGATATCCGCTTCGTCATGCCTGGATACATCAATTTAGTGCTGTGGATCGCCAGATCGGCTTTCACCGTGGACGAATCGGAGTCCAGTCCGGGGTCGTCACATGTGGTTGCCACTCCTACGTCGAATCTGCCGCCCGAGCCGTTCTCAAGCCCGCCGCCTCAGCTCACGCTAGGCCGCGGCTTCCGCTCACGCTAGGCCGCCGTGTGTTTCGTTGTGAAAGCAAAACTACTTTGTTTGGTCTTCCAAAAGAGGACACGACTACAAATCAGTGGTTAAGTAGTATTTACAACACTGTTCCAGAACAGTTCAACCCAAATATTCATTTGTGTGCAGCACATTTTATGGAGGACTGTTTCCTGATCCTGGAAGAGTAGACTACAATGCCGGCTGTTCTGACTCACAGACTGTTAGTACGTTTTAATTTAAAGGATTTGCCACTGACGATTCAAATGCAAGTTTTGGGCATTGTAGAGTAGCGTTTGTAGTTTGTCATTTCTCCAATCACAAATGCAGACATGGTTTTATGTTTACGCGGTGCGATGCAAAGACAGTATAAGTCATTATAATCAGTAATTATGTCCCCACTGGATGCAACAAATGCCTCATTTGTAATGGGTTTTAGAGCGTCCTCGTCTCCTGATATTATTTCTTCACCGAAGATGACATTATTAAATGCTCGTTCCTTGGTGAATAAGACCTTCTTATTAAATTATTTTTACTCATCTCACAAACTGGACTCACAAAAGGTTGGTGATCTAACTCCTTTTTCTGATCTGATCCCTGCTGACTGTACATTTTTTAACTCTCCTCATCCGAGTGGACGCGGGGGTGGGATAGTAACAATTTTAAAGAACTCTCTCTCTGCACGCTGTCGATTGGTCCCTGTAATGGCCTTTTCCAGCTTTGAAGCTCAGTTTATTCACTTAGACTGGAATGGTCTTGTATGTCTAGGGGTGTTTTACCGTCCTCCGCACTCTACTAAGGATTTTATACTGCATCTCACTGAACAGATCGGCAATATTGCCACAAATTACGATCACTTTCTATTGATGGGCGACTTCAATATCCATGTCTGCTGTCCGTCTAACCCCTTATCACATGACTTTGTTAATCTTATCGACGCTTTTAATCTATCCCAGTGGATCAATGTCTCTGCTCATATTCAGGGACATACGTTGGATCCTGTACTCTCATATGGGCTTGATGTGACTGATATTATGCTCTCAGATTTTATGATCTCTAACCATAAGCCTATATTATTCTCACTGTCTCTTCCAGATCTCTCTCATTTTTCTAATACACCTGTAAATCTTTCTTGTTTCTACTCTCCACAGTTTAGCACAAATTTCAACTTGTGCTTTGCTGAATGTTGCTCACAGTTGCACTTGGATCAACCATTATCTGACTTGGATGCTGATCAACATCTTAGTGAATTCTGCCTGGCTTAAGGTAGCAAGATACCCGTCTCCTAAGACAAAACTGCAGAAAGGCAGAACGTAAATGGAAAAAGGACAGGCTGCATATCTCTCTTCATATGTTCAGAGACTCTCTTACATCTTACCAGACTGCAGTGAATTCTACGAAAGCTGCATACTTTTCTAATTTAATTGAAACTAATCATTCTAAACCTAAGGTTTTGTTTTCAATTATTTAATCTGTTACAAATCCTTCAGTTAACACCTTGCCTGTTGCCTCTGATGCTCTCTGTGAAAGCTTCTTGAGATATTTTAGTGACAAAATTATTAACTTAAGGCTTAGCGTCTGCCCCACTTTAACTGTCTCTCCAATTATGTCATCTGCCTCTGCATTTTTGGATGTTTTTGAACCTATCAACCTCCAGGAATTGAAGCAAGTGATTGACAAGCTTAAACCTTCATTCTGTTCTAGCGATATCATTCACCTGAGATTAAATTAAAATTAATTATCGATTCGATTGGGCCAGGTTTGGTGTCTCTTATTAATAAGTGTCTCCAAACCGGCTCTGTTCCTGCCAACCTTAAAGTCGCTACGGTCACTCCTCTGCTCAAGAAGCCTTCACTGGATCCTTCTGTCCTAAAAAAATTTCGACCTATTTCTGTTTTACCTTTCATTTCAAAAGTTTTGGAGAAAATTGTGCTGAATCAACTTC